ATCTCAACAGTAGGCCCACATTGGGTGATCATTATTTACCCCAGAAACAGAGTGATCGTGAATTACCCCGGGTCACACTATAGTTTTGAAAAGAATTAACTCATTAAAAGACATTGATTTATAAGTAGTTATAATATTTATTTTAAAATAGTTAAAAAAAAGAATAATTACATTTAATTATTTACAAAACATATTTTTAAGCATCTACAAGGAACTCTGAAAGTGCAAAACTTGTTACTGGGCTCTCAATATTACATCAAAGACCAATATTTGCAGATTACATCAAAAGACCAAGATTTTATTGATATGAAAAGGTCCCACAAAACGTAAGTGGATAGCTTAAATTAGAAAAGCAGTAATAATTTATTTTTGAGTTATTTATAAATTATTTTAAGTTATTACTTTCACAGAGGCATAGATTGGATCTTGAGGATGACTAGTTTCCGTTGTCAGTTTTGTTTCTTCTGCAATAGATTCAAATGAGCTCTCAACCTGCTCACTTGGGCTTGACGCATTATAATCAAGTTTCTTCTGTGGAATTTGTGGATGAAGAGAACCTCCAAGACTTTCAACTTGAGAATATCTTGATGGAAAATGTTTATGTTATTATTTATAAAATTAATTAAAAATATCTACAAATGTAAAATATGAGATAAAAATAATTACATTGATTCACTGGAATAATGTGGGGCATCAACAGTAGAATATTTTCTATATAAGTTTTCCTCATTAATACTTTGAGATGAAAGAGACTTAGCAGAGTCTTTCAGTTTTGGGGATCGTTTAGAAACTGACGGAGAAAAAAGAGTCTGTAAAACAATAAAAATAAAACTTAAGAAATAGAAATAAGAATAATTGCTATGTTAAGGTTTGAGACTGTAAATTTTAAATATTACTTTTTAAGAATAACACCTCAGAAGTAAGATAGAGATTGTAAATACACTGCAATTCATAACTATTTTCAAATTGTGATTATAACCTTTAAAGCATAAAAAAATAAACTTAAGTAAACTCAAAAGCTTGAGAGAACAATTAAAAGAATTGAGCTGTAAGAGTAGCGATTACAAGAAACCTTAAAATATCCCCCAGTCACTGCTAAGTTGCACTCATACTCTTAGAGTGTGAAATTTAACTTGCATTATAATCATTTTTTGTCTATGATTCAGACATGTAAAAACAATATTGATACAAACTGACAATAAAACAGAGCTAAATAAAATCTTAAGACAGTGAAAGCATTTAATATTTCGTAAACTATAAGTTTCATTTTTAAACTTTTTGGTAACTTAATACCTTGTAAACTTTTCATAACTTTTGTTGTTAAGTCTGATTATTGATCAGGGACAGATTTCAATGTTGGATCTTGTATCAAAATGGTCAACAAGTTTTGGCAGAAACTAGGCAATATCAAACAAAAAACTTTTTTAAAAAAATTGCAGAAGTAAACAAACTTGAATGATAAAATTTGTAAGCACCTATGGGCAAGTCAGTACATAAATTATTTTAATTTGCTGCAAGCACAAAAACAAGGCAGAAATGGGCTAGACAGAGAAACATTTAACAAGCAACTTAGTCCTACATTCACACTTAAAGTGATGAATAATATAAAAAAATATTCGCTGAATAAGTATATAATTTATTAGTAAAAATAAGAGAAGCGATAAAATGCTTAGTCATCTATACTCAATAATCACACAATAAATATAATAAATCAAATGGAAAATGTTTGTTAATTCACTAATGAATTTTTTTTACACATTTTTATAATCCTATAAAGGAAGCAATCCCTTTCTTTTAATTCAAATCGCAAAGAGTTAATATTTCATCAAGAAAATAAAGAATTTTAAAAAATTTGGTCGGGATAGCCTGGCTGGTAGGGCCTTGGGCCCATGTCTGAGAGGTCGTAAGTCTGATCCCAGCTGGGTGAAAACTATCTGTGTACAAAATGGTGACTGGCGCACACTAAATCTGTCGGGGTCACAAAGACCTCCAAGTTCACATATTAAATCAATACTTTGGGGGGTAATGCACCAGAGATTTATCGTGCTCCAATTCAGATCAAAATTATGATCTGTGGATGTGTCCTCCCTGTAAAACAGGATGTGATGTATGTATGTTGTCTCCGGATCATCCTCAGGGATGTATCCAAGACTGCCGCCAAGAGTGCACTGTGCAGCTCTGGTGCGTAAATAAAAGTACCAGGGCTCGAAAAACCGCCCATCTTCGGCAGTCTAAAATTTCCCGCGGACAACGAATTTCACGAATCCGACGCCCACGTGGACGACCATTTTCATAAAAAAAATACTAGGTTGCTATTAGTAACCTAGTATTTTTTTTATTACTGTATAATGTAATCCAAGTATTTGTAATCCTAGTAACTACTAATTCATTGTGCAATTTATATAAATGTTTGTAATAAAAAAGAGAAAATTGTATTTTTATTTATTTTGAAGCTACTGGTTAGTTTCAAAGGAGGACGGGTACATTGTTGGACAAGCCGTCCTCGGGGACGGGTAAAATTTCTGAGCTTCTTCGAGCCCTGAAAAATACCATACTGCCACTTAGTAATTTTTAAAAAAATATATTGATACCTGGCATTAATTTCAATTTTTGTATTAGATTTCACAAGTGATTGAACAAAATAAAGTTGACATCAAAGTTTTATAACAAAAGAATAAAAAAATAATTTTAGTATTTTTAGTATATTTTTTAAACACATAAAGTTTCTGAGTTTTAGTTTGAAAGAAGAAGAAAAACATAAAAGGGTTTTTGAACAAATATGAAAACTACAGTACCATTAACTAGGTTAAGTCTAACTAAGAAAAAAAATATATGAATTTACTACCCTTTAAAAAGAATAGTTTTAGTTAAAAAACTGCCAAACAGTAAAATTTTTAGAAAAATAACAACTTAGTCTACATTTCATACATATTTCAATGATTGTTATAATTAAATGTAGTAAATGATTATCAATTGGATCATTATCAAAATGCTCGAGTAGAGAAGAAAAATATTTTTTTTAACATACATATTTATGTTTAGGCACATTAGTATTGTTACGATTAATATTGTATAATTATGATAAAAATAACTCTTTGATTTATAATAGTGGGAAAGCATTTGAGATCGACTTTGAAAACGGCGATATGGTGGTCTCTGTGAGCGTATGGACGTTACGTCTTTCCCTTTCCACTCTATTCCAATCAATTAAAATAAACAAAATCATGATCTATTATTTGAAAAAACCTGAGCTTTCCTATAACAATTCCACTGTGGCCATTTTTATTAAATCCTTTTTTATCTAATGTACTTAAAAAAAAATCTATTCAATAATAAAAATATAGGATTAAAACTTTGTTAAAATATATGTAAGTGCATACCTCATAATAATATGGTGTTTTTAATACACATACAACTAAATTCTCTGTATGTAACCCACAATATTTATTTTTAGTAACTAGAGAAAAATTGGGGTTGGCATAATATCTGTGGACTAATTTTGATACTTTGTGCAAGTTTTAAAGAATGTATAATCAAAGCAATAAATAATTAATTAAATGAACAATAATTTAAAAAATTGTAGACGGTACTGAATTTTGTGAACTCAAATCAAAAAAATTTACCAGACATTAAAGTTTTTATTTTAATCATTCTAAATTATAATTAATATAAATCATAACCAGTTAGGTACTTTACTTATCTGTTAAAGGGAACAAAACTTATTACAACAACACCTATATTATATGTCTATATTAGTATAATAAGTACAAGTAGTACAATAGTAATGCAAGTAGTATCTTGTATTGCACTATTAAATTAATTAAGCAACAGTTGCATTAATAATAGTATAGAATTTTTTTGCGAACTCCTTTAATGGATATGTATCATTAACTTTCATTCAATCATCAATTAGATTTAAGTGCAATCTGACAACCCCATATTATTTTTCCCTATTATTATATTATTTTTCTTCAGTAAAAAATATGTACAACGGATAACTTACAAGGAAGGATTTATATTTAGTGCTTTTAAATGGGGATTTAAATTTTGATGAAGATTTTTCCATTTTGACAACAAATTAAGATTAAAAATTTTTTTTTACAAATCAACGTTCAAGCCGGTTTATTTATTTACAAACATTGAATTTTTTATTGCCACTCTTTTGATACGAAACAGCTTTCAGCTGCTTAAATTTGAAAATATCCAGTTAACAGTTTTCGTTCTTAATGCTTCGCATTAGATATAAAAATCTAATCTTTAGCAAACTTAATGAGTATTATCCGTTTATTTGGTATCCTCTCATCGCATTTGAGTTGTCTCGCCACCTTGTGGAAAGAGGAAGAATAAAAGTCATTCACAGTTTTGGATTTGTCTTTTGTCTCTTCGCAAAATTAATTTTTCTGCCTTCAATTTTTTGTTAAGTCACGCTACATTGCGTAGTGTTTTGATTATCAGCTGCCTTTTGCCTTGAAATTGATGGTCGTCATCGTCAGCTTCAGTTAAATAGGCAAAAAGGAAGTTAATGCGATCTTCTTGATCATTGATATTTCTCTAGCAGCTTTACAAATTTTTCGAAGTTTCAGTGTAATATTTGTTCTTTTTTAAAATGTCTAAGGAAATTAAAAAATACAGTCTAGAAGAAATCGCGGATCATCATGATAAGAAATCTACATGGATTTTAATTCATGGCAATGTTTACGATGTTACTAACTTCCTTGAAGAGGTATGGGAATACATTTATTTCTAATTGTGTAATATTTATATCCCAAATTATGTATTTTGTAATTTCAAATAATTGTTTTTCACAGCATCCTGGGGGAGAAGAGGTTCTTTTAGATCAAGGAGGTGAGGCTTTTTTTTTCTGAAAATTATCTCTCATCATTGAAATACAATATGGTGTTACATGATAAAGAATTTTAGTTTCATTTATCTTTTCCATGCATCAGCTATTTATTCATAAAGTATTGCTTCTTAGATTATTAAATTTCCTGTCGTTATCTATTAATCAAAAAAATGTAATATATGTTAATTTTATTAAATAAATGTAGAAAATTGTGTTGGTATCTAATTGATAAACTTATTGTATTATTGTTCCTGAAAAATGTATATATTCATAAAAAAATGGAAAAAACTTTCTTCAACCAGTGGGCAGATAATACTTGAATATGATGCTATTAATTATATTCTAATAGGGTGCTTACATATTTTTCTGTCAATCGTTTTTGCAAAATCTGAAAATAAACTTGGAAGTAATTCATATTTAAATATTTCTTTATTTTTGAATCCATGAAATTTAAATATTTCTTTATTTTTGAATCAATTAAATTTAAACATTTCTTTATTTTGAAAGAATGATCGACGAGATGATACGTCAATAGAAATTTTTTTTTTTCATTTGCAAGTTTAAAATCCATTTGGTCTTAGAATGATTATAACTGGTGCTACAGATCATGATACCCTCTTGTGAAATTACCCCTTTATATGTACATGAATAATACTAGCTTTTCTTTGAATAGTTTTTACTTCTTTAGTAAGTTTCTGTCATTATATTATTAAATCTAGTAGCTTATCTAAAATAATTATTTTTATTGATAATTATTTTGACTAGTCATTCTGAAGTATTATATATTAATAGTTTTGAATTAATTTCATTCCTGAAATAGTAATTATTTAACACTGGTATTGGTATATAATAGACATACATAATTCATTAATCAGTTAGTGTTTAAGGTGTTCTTATAAAAAAATTTAATTAAAGAAAATATACTAAATTAATAGTATTATTTACTATGAGAATTATTTATTATTCTAATAATGTATTTTAAGTTTATAAAAATATCTTGTGAGTAGAATAAGCGCAGTTGCATTAGAATTTGAAACATCACTAAAAATATATATATAAATAGATAAATAACCACTGTCTAGCAAACTCTAATTAAAATGAACAAAAAAAAAGTTTTTTTTTTTTTTTTAATGTAAATTTATTGTTAAAACTTTAGTAGCTCTTGCATTAAACTGCAAATGTACCAGTGACAAATCTTAATTAAACGCCTATATAAAGTATAAACCATGTTCATCTCTTTATCACTTAATTTATTAACTGGGGTTATATAAGTTTTGAAATAAAATTTAGCAGACTTTTATTCATTTATTTTCACACACTACGTACACATGAAATATGTCAGATACCTATTTAAAGATAATATTTTGTATTTAAGCATTTTCTTCATTTGTAACAAACTTAATACAAACAGTGTTTGAATATAGTTTAAAGACAATGAATAATGTAAATTTCAATTTTATAAATGGAATTATTTAATTAAAATATTTAATTAAATGTTAATAAAAAAAAAACTTTTAATGACTAAAACAATTTATTTCCTGTTTGTTATTCTTAATTCTAATGTTTAATTTGCAGGGAAGCATGCTACAGAAGCATTTGAAGACATTGGCCATTCTACTGATGCTCGTGAGCTTATGAAACAGTATAAAATAGGAGAATTGTGTGATGTAAGTTACCATGTATTTGTTTATGTACTTTTTTTAAAAAAAATCATTGTATATAAAATATGTAGTTTCCATTACTTTCTCTATATGGTTAAACCAAAAATTATCTATTTCTGCAAATATTAAAATTATCCATTAAGCCACAAATATACATAAGCTACTAACCATCTTAAACAGATATTTGACATGTTTACATAAATTTACTGTGTTGCTCTGCATTGTCCTCATGTAAACTAAACTTATTTCGTTAACTAAAACTAAACTTTTTACATGCATTTAGAAAAATTCAAAAAATTGAAGACTTAATTTTTTTCTCATTGTTCATGTTTTTAATAAAAATAGAAATATCTGTCTGTTTTTTTTTTTTTAATTTTATTTTATTTAAAAGGGATTTTTGGATGTCCTAATTTATTAATTGGGGAAAGAGACCAAGATAAAGTGGTTTTTCCATATTATTTTGCCTAAAATCGCTGTAAGAAAATATAAGATACAATATCGATTCAACTGAAAATTTTGTGAACCTTATAATGGAAGAAAATGAATTATCTAAGATGTTTAATTTGAATGTAATGGGCTTTGATATGCATGTAAAACAAGGAAAAGTTTTTCAATTTAAAAAAAAAAAAAAAATCAAAATGTGAGCTTTCAGGTGCAACTTATTTAATCACCATCTGTCTTAAAGTTTAATTTCACGTGTGGAAATTAAAATTTTGTGTCTGAAAAACTCAAAGTACAAGTACAGGTAGACACACATTTTATTTTATTACAAGTATAAACTGTGTGAATAACACCATTTAAGGTTTGTAGAACTTAGGGACAATTTGATTGCTCCTTCATATTATGCCAAATTTAAAGGGTTATGCTTTTCTAAATAATTTTGAAGTTTAGGTCATGGTTTTATAAAAACTGAATTGTCGAGTTTGCATAGATAAAGAGCAGGGTTTGAAAAAACCCGGGGATTTTTGAAAAAACCCAACCCATCTGGGTTTTATTGAAAAAACCCGGGGAAAATTGGGTTTTATTTGAAAAAACCCGGGGAAAATTGGGTTTTTTCATTTAGTGCTCATAAATTTTACTGTGAAAATATTTTTATTTATTAAATAGAGTTGTATAAGTAAACACTGAAATTTCATCTGACTTTTACCTGTAATAAAATTGAACTGGAATAAATATTTAATGGTCTTCCATGTTTTTATAATATGATTAACAGAAAGTGAAATTAAAATTACGTATAGTAATAAAGAGTATCAGTTATTTGCCACTTTTTTCAAATATTTAGATAAATATATGCATTTTTAGATACATTTTAACTTTATAGTTTCAAAAGACAAATTAATCTTAAAATTATAAAAAAGGCATATATAAAAAGTTATAGCTTATTTTTTTAAGATCAGAAAATAAAACTTTAAATTTGTTTATTGTTGTTTAATGTATCACTTAATAGAAATTTTTTTTTGTTTGCTTTCATTATTTTAAACATGATTAAAAGAAACAAAATAAATTGTATTCAAATGAAATCTTAAAAATAATATTTAAAAAATCTTAAAAGTAATATTT